TTATGTATTTCTCATAATACCTGAAAATGAAATAATTTGCAACTTTTAACTGTATTAGCATAATAAACAACAATAAAACTTATCAATGCATTAAAAAAAACTTGCTAGTTAAATCCCATATAGCTGGTTATAAACAAAGCACTGATAGCGATGAACTTGTAAACATGACATCATTTTGGTAAACATGACGTATTTCATGTACTGTGAGGGCAGATTGAGGAATTTTTTAACAATGAAAACTGCGTTTTATTTTTAAACGGAATATCATTCACAGGTTTTAAATAGTCGATTAATACCAATGTATATCCTTATTTTAGTGCGATTATTCATTAACTATCAAGAGAATGTACTTTATTAATTATGTCGTTATTTTATGTATAGGTTACGTACATTTTACAATGAGATGCCTCATAAAATCGTACTTTTGCAAGGGCATACACTTAATAGATCTTAACCATTTTTTGAATATAGATAAAGGATATTTTTCTTATTTTGAAAAGTGCTGCTGCTTTCTTTAAATCGAGGGCGTGATCTTATAAATGCACAAAATATTTAGTAAAGGTCAAACATATTTCGACATTGGCTTGTTTACCTGAAAATTTAACTATTAAAACGCGAATTCTATTCAAAGCAGCAGCACTTTTCAGAAACTACAAAGTATGCAGAAACAATGAACAGCTTGAATTTTTTATTTCAACTAGGGTATGCCCTTGCGATATTGAAATTTGTTCATGACCTACATTCAGTACACGAACTAAGCATTCATCACGTGACTGTCCATCGATGGGACCAAACTTCATACAGTATAGAGTGGGTTATACTATGCTATTTCCATAAGTATTTAAGTTCTGTGATAATAAAACAGCTTAATTAAAATGAATTTAGTTTTAAAAAAGTTCCCCTTTTTGCACGTCTATTTTCCGTTGATTTCTCATAGTAGGCCTTAACAGTGCTGCGTATTGAAGTTTGGTGAAAATCAAATTGCACAGATAAGTGACATATAAAAAATGTATAACTCTGTTCGCTTATCAACAAAGGATCAACATACACACAGGTTCTTTTGGAGAAATAACGAAACAAACAGGCAACCTGATCATTACATACTCACAGGTGTTCCCTTTGGAGACCGTCCAAGTGGAGCCATTGCTATGATAGCATTTAGAAAAACAGCTGAAATGTTAGAGAATGAATATCCCAAAAAACAACAGCTACGTGGATGACATTCTTACCTCTTCCTTAACTTGGAAATGGTGGACTTCATTTGAAGCATTGAATCATCTCTGGAAGGCAGGATAAAGTTGCAGATGGAATCAAATTGTTGAATACAGAGACAGAAAAGATTCTAGAGTTGATATCGAGACCAGAATATGACATTTTACTTTCAAAGTTCAGCTGAATTTTGTAGAAAAGGAAAACAGGAAGACAGCATATCCAGCATCTCATCTTGTAATGTTTCAGACTTGTCGAATTTGACTACACTCACAAAGCGCATGGTGCTTAAACAGGTTTCCAGTGTATACGACCCACTTGGTATGTGTCAAGTAACATGTATTTAGATTTTACCTGTTTCATGATTTTATATATTTTTACGGGTTTTAGTGTACCCCGCATGAGTATTTTGTGGGCTATTAATGCGCCCCACTCTTTTGTGTTTTGTACATTTCCGGTTTAGCCAACGTGGTTGTTTGGCAGATGTATCGGTGCCACGATGTAAGATTACCTTGTTTATATTTCATTTACTTGTGATTTATGAATATTAGTTTGTGATAAATTACTCATAGATTAGGTTATTTACTACGACATGAAATAATGTAGGATCTTTTAGCTATTATTTGTCATGATATGTAGGAATGATTGTTTACATTGATCGTTTCGCGCCAAATTTACATTCATTGAAAGTTAGATAAAATATGCCTAATATGTATTGAATCTTTGATAGAATTGAATAGATTTGTCCAGTTAATTGTCTTTTTCATATATGAACTTAGGCGGTTTAACAGATTATACATTTATATCAAATTCTTGTCATTTTATGAAGTCGATCGTCAGTCTATAGGTAGTTGAGTCTTAAGTCTTGCATATCAGGTGTAACAATGATTATATTCATGGTGTATTAATTAAATGTAATACTGTGTTTAAAGTCATTTTATCAGTCAATTAGTCATACAGGTATATGGTTACTAGTCAATATGCATCTGTACATTGTGTATAGAGTTCAGTATTGAGTATTGCTTGTTATGTTTACTTCATATTTGTAACTCTGTTTTCTGTATTTGTTTACAGCCTTTTACCACTTGTGTCAACACAATAAATTTGATCTACCAGTTTCCTGGTGTTTTTGGACCTTGTTTGATTGACCGGGTTTATCTGACTGCGTCCGGGCAGTTACAGTATGGTTGTACCATATATTCTCACTGCAAAATCCTTAATGAGGACTTTACGTTAAGAAAGTCTGAATAGAAGGGATGATTGGGATTAGCCTTTAAGGAAGGATATGAAATTGTTGGATTGATTTCATCAAAGACCTCTTTCATCTTCAACTTCTGAGGATACCCCGATGCATTCAACCAGAAAAATTCACTACACTCCCCCTACATTCATAGCATAATCACTTTTGTTCAATGATACGTTAACCCCGGATCTCAAAATGTAAATAATTTGTCATCTTTGCACATCACTGGACTAACCATTAGCACAACAGTCTCTCCAGATTGTTCACCATTCACTTTACCTTGAAATTCTTCTTGATGTAAGGTTGTATGGTGCATTTTCCCACATTTCTCGCATCCTTCTCTATTTTGACAATTTTTGCAAATGTGTCCAAGTTTTATAGATATAAAACAAGCCCTATTTTTGGAGACAGACGATTTTACTTTTGACATCCATTCTATTAAATGTCAAAAACTGAGTAAGTTCATACGAATCTGTGTCGTGATACCTACAGGGCTTATGTGTATTTGTTCTGGGAGGTCTTGTATTTTTTGGTATCTGATGATGAACGTGACATACAATGTCTGTAATTTTGGCTAATCCATCAACAACCTTTTTTTCAGAATTTCTTGATTTTGCTTCATTTGGATGCTGAGCTCATTTGAGACTACAGTATTTGAAGAATGTTCAATTGGATTTTGATTTTGTTTCAGAGATATAATGAATTTTGGCCTTTTGTTCACACCGTAATTCGGAATGCATATATTTCATAGCATGCACGATTTTCTGCTACCAAAACTACTTTTATATAATACACCGGGGTAATTGACGATACAGTTGGCGAAGTTAACAAATCCGGAAAAGTTCACTACAATAAATGCATTCATTTCAAGAAATTGAGTTGCTATTTGAGAATGCATATACTGTGGAATCATCATATTTCGTTATTTTAGTGGCTAGCTCCCTAAGGAAGTAATATCACTACAAAAAGATAACACGTGACATTTGACCATGGCGGTCATGCTTTGCTAGTGGGAAGAAAAAATAGATCAAAATCGGAGTTAAAAGTGTCAAAGTGCCGAAAAAAGGGTCAACAGTTTATCATTAACATTGAGTGAAGGTCTTGAAGCTTTTTTGTGTAAGTATTTGCTTATTTGGAACTTTTGGTAGATTACTGTGCACCACTGTGTATACAATGTCCAGTCGTGAGTTGAAATCACAGAAAAGAAAGCCGCAGTCTAAGTCTAAGGGAACTGAGAAAATGCCGTTCCCCTCCACTAACTTTGGAACTTTAACCCCATTTAGTGTACCGTTTGCTCCTTGCCCTGAGCAAATAGCGGACCCTTTTAAAACTTTAGCAAGTCTATCACAAGCCGTGGGGGATATTAAGGCTGATCTATGGGAACAGGACGGGTTTGAAGACAAGATACAATTCATCGCACAACAGCAGGAAGACAATATAACAGAGATAGACAGTCTAAAATCTGAAAATGCATCCCTACGCAAGGATCTTGAAATGTTAAAATCGGTTGTAATAAGACTTGATAGAAGAGTCACAGAACAAGAGAAGGAAATTATTGATTTGAAAGGGCGATCCATGAAAAACAATATCCTTATACATAACCTGGAAGAAGAAGAAGGAGAAGATCTATTCAGCAAAATCCCCCGCCTGCTAAATGAACACCTAGATATAGACGGAATAGAGTTCGCTAATATCCATAGGAATGCGGGGGACAGAAGGCAAGGAGATAAGCCCCGAGTTATAACAGGCCGGTTAGTTAGATTTGAGAACAAAGACCGTATACTAAAACAGCAGAGAAAAAAGAAAGATGAAGGGATTAATCTACCATTCTATATCACCCCCCAGTCTCCAGTTCAAGTTAACGAAACTCGCAGAAAACTGGTTGAACTCAACAGCAAATATTGGAGCGAAAATATCAAAACGAGAGTAGTGGGGGACAAATTGGTTTTCCCGAATGGGTCTGTTTACAGAGATAAAGTGAAGACACCAAACGCCGAGGAAATTCTACAACTTGACCAGAAAGAACAACAGAAACTAGAGGAAATTGAAGTTAAACGCTCTAACACACACACAGAATCAGGAAACCAAATTAGCGCTGCAGCAGTTGAGGTAGAGACATATGCAAAAGTTCGGAACTTCTACAGGAAAATTTCCATGGATCCAGTTTATGGGCGTGCAAATCACAACATACTGGTATACCGTTTTAAAGACAATTCTGGGACTATACATGACGGATACTGTGACGACGGCGAATTTGGAGCTGGAAGGAAAATGCTAAAAATTCTGCAGGATGAAAACTTTACAAATGTATCAGTTGTGATATCGCGCATGATGGGAAAACACCTTGGTCCGAAACGCTTCGACATAATGGAGAAAGCGTTATTTGACGCCCTCAAAGAACTTCGATAGGCTAAAAGAGTGTCCTGCAACACGATTATTATTTTTCTTGGACATTCTGTGGTATAACTAGTTTTTTGCTTCAGTTTACAATATAACAGAGATAGACAGTCTAAAATCTGGAAATGCATCCCTACGCAAGGATCTTGAAATGTTAAAATCGGTTGTAATAAGACTTGATAGAAGAGTCACAGAACAAGAGAAGGAAATTATTGATTTGAAAGGGCGATCCATGAAAAACAATATCCTTATACAAAACCTGGAAGAAGAAGAAGGAGAAGATCTATTCAGCAAAATCCCCCGCCTGCTAAATGAACACCTAGATATAGACGGAATAGAGTTCGCTAATATCCATAGGAATGCGGGGGACAGAAGGCAAGGAGATAAGCCCCGAGTTATAACAGGCCGGTTAGTTAGATTTGAGAACAAAGACCGTATACTAAAACAGCAGAGAAAAAAGAAAGATGAAGGGATTAATCTACCATTCTATATCACCCCCCAGTCTCCAGTTCAAGTTAACGAAACTCGCAGAAAACTGGTTGAACTCAACAGCAAATATTGGAGCGAAAATATCAAAACGAGAGTAGTGGGGGACAAATTGGTTTTCCCGAATGGGTCTGTTTACAGAGATAAAGTGAAGACACCAAACGCCGAGGAAATTCTACAACTTGACCAGAAAGAACAACAGAAACTAGAGGAAATTGAAGTTAAACGCTCTAACACACACACAGAATCAGGAAACCAAATTAGCGCTGCAGCAGTTGAGGTAGAGACATATGCAAAAGTTCGGAACTTCTACAGGAAAATTTCCATGGATCCAGTTTATGGGCGTGCAAATCACAACATACTGGTATACCGTTTTAAAGACAATTCTGGGACTATACATGACGGATACTGTGACGACGGCGAATTTGGAGCTGGAAGGAAAATGCTAAAAATTCTGCAGGATGAAAACTTTACAAATGTATCAGTTGTGATATCGCGCATGATGGGAAAACACCTTGGTCCGAAACGCTTCGACATAATGGAGAAAGCGTTATTTGACGCCCTCAAAGAACTTCGATAGGCTAAAAGAGTGTCCTGCAACACGATTATTATTTTTCTTGGACATTCTGTGGTATAACTAGTTTTTTGCTTTTTTTCTTTTTCCCGGATTGAATAGCTCTGTTCTGAACAGGTTTCTTTTTTTATAGCATTTATTCCGGAAAAAAAGACGTTTATGTTTGTGTTTGATTTTTCAATTACCGACCAAAGAAGTATGTCCGGTATTATATCGGCACAGAATTTGAGGTAAACAAAATTAAAATGAGTACTCCGACTATTGATCTATTAAACTCTTTCAACTATGCATTTGTAATTTATGCAAAGAGTTTGTTTCGTACATGTACATACCCTTTTCTTTTGTTTATTTATTCTTTTTTCAGTTTTGTTTACATTTTTGAGTGAGTGTGAAAGTGTGTCTGTGAGAGAATACAACAGTCATGTAGTCGAAAATTTCGCTTGGAGGTTGCTTATTTTTTACAAATCAGTTTTTGTTGATGAACGATAATATAAAAATCGTAACGGTGAACTGCCAAGGTCTAGCGACAACTCAGAAACGACAAGATGTCCTTAACTATTATAGAAAAAAGGGTTACTCTATTTTGTGTCTGCAAGATACACATTTTACCTATGAAACAGAACCATTTGTAGAAGCTCAGTGGGGTTACAAGTGCTATTTTAGTTCATATAAATCGAATTCTCGAGGAGTAAGTATTCTTTTTAACAATAATTTTGAATTTAAAGTCCACAAAGATAAGAGAGATAAGGAAGGGAATTTAGTAGCTCTTGATATTACCATTGAAGACAATAGGTTTACCCTGGTAAATGTATATGGACCGAATACTGACTGTCCGGAATTTTATGAAAAGGTTAGAGATATTTTTCTAGAATTTGATAATGAATATTTTGTACTATGCGGTGACTTAAATCTTGCTCTTAATCCAGAAATAGATACATACAACTATGTTAATGTAAATAATCCATTGGCTCGTGAAAAATTGATAGAAATTATGGAAGACTTACAAATGATTGACTATTACAGAATTTTGAATCCAGAAAAAAAAGTGTTCACATGGAGGAAAAAAAACCCTGTCAAACAAGGCCGATTAGACTATATTTTAATATCTGAAGGATTATCCAATCTTGTCGAAGAATTTTCTGTTAAACCGGGTTACAGATCTGATCATTCTATTGTAGTTCTAGAATTAAAATTCAATCCCTTCAATAAAGGTCGTGGCCTATTGAAGTTTAATAATAGTTTACTGAATGACGCAGTGTATGTCGGAAAAGTGAAGCAAACTATACAAAAAGTCAGATGTCAATATTTACAAAACATAAATGAAATGGAAAATAATGCTATTTTTGTTGAAAATATGGATGACTCTATGTTCCTTGAGATTCTTCTTATGGAAATACGAGGAATATCTATTTCATATTCTTCATTTAAGAAAAAAGAGAGAGAAAAATTAGAGAAATCCCTTGTAGAAGAAATAGAGAGATTAGAAACAAGTAATGAAAATAATACAGATATTTTGGAAGAAAAAAAAGTAACCCTTGAAAATTTAAGAAAAGTTAAAATGCAAGGTCATTTAATTAGATCCCGTGCTAGATGGGTAGAAGAGGGTGAAAAGCCAACAAAATATTTTTGTAATTTAGAATCAAGAAACTATGTTAACAAAATTATTAAAAGGGTTGAGATTGACGAACAATACACTGTTTATGATCAATTTGAAATTTTAAACCAAGTTAAATCTTTTTATGAAAAACTGTATTCAAATAAAGATTCAGAATGTATTGACATGGATCTGAATGATATTATTGACCCAGCGGAAGTTAAAAAACTTGACGAGATGATTTCTAATAGTCTTGAGAAAGATATTGAAGAAATTGAACTTTTAGATGTTCTTAAGAATATGAAAAATAACAAGTCTCCAGGGAGTGATGGTTTCACGGCTGAATTTTTCAAATTTTTTTGGATAGATTTGAAAAGTTATATTTTAAATGCAATTAACTGTATTTTTTCAAAAAAAGAACTTCCAATTTCTCAGAGACTTGGGATTATTTCCTGTAAACCCAAAGGTGATAAACCTAGGCAGTTCTTAAAAAATTGGCGCCCAATTACTTTACTAAATGTCCTTTATAAACTTATATCTGGATGTTTAAGTTGTAGAATAAAGTCGACTCTAGAATATCTTATTTCTGATACACAAACTGGTTTCATTAAAGGTAGATTTATAGGGGAAAATACAAGATTTATATATGACTTAATGTCTTATACAGAGTCAAATAATATTCCTGGTCTGTTGATGCTATTAGACTTTGAGAAAGCATTTGACTCAATTTCATGGACCTTTCTTTATAAAGTTTTGAAGTATTTTGGTTTTGGAAACAACATTATTGAATGGATTAAAATCCTAAATACTAATTTTAAAGCTTCAGTTTTACAATGTGGTTTTTTATCAGAACAATTTTTTATTCAGAGGGGTTGTAGACAAGGAGATCCTGTTGCTCCCTACTTGTTCCTCCTTTGTGCTGAAATCCTTGCTATTCTCATTAAACAAAATAGAGATATAAAAGGTATAATAGTAAAAGAAAAAGAACACAAAATCTCTCAATATGCAGATGATACCTCGCTTGCCCTTGACGGTTCACCAAAATCTTTGTTTGCTGCTCTTGATACATTGGATTTATTTTCGCAATTATCTGGTTTAAAGATAAATAGTTCTAAGACAAAAATTATTTGGATTGGCTCGAAAAAATTTTCAAATCAAGTTTTTCATCACACAAGATGGAAACTAGATTGGGGATCCACAACTTTTACTTTGCTTGGTATAACTTTTTCTGTAGAGCTAGAAAATATTATTGACATAAATTACAAACTTGTTTAACCAAAAATTAAATCAATGATCCAACAATGGAAAAGGCGAATACTTACACCAGTCGGTCGTGTCACCATTGTAAAATCGCTGATTTTACCAAAACTTACTCATTTATTTGTTTCTCTTCCTACCCCTAGCTATGACATAATATCTTCATTGTGTAAGGACCTTTTTGAATTTATATGGAAATCAAAAAGTGATAGAGTTAAAAGAGATATAGTTACTCAAGATTATTTATCTGGAGGATTAAAAATGTTAAATGTTGATTACTTCATAAAATCATTAAAATGTACATGGGTCAAAAGATTGGTATCAGAAAGTAATAAACCATGGCTGGACATATTTTTAGGAATTAATGGTAGAGATGTTGTAAAGAAATTTATGGATTTTGCTGATGCTTATATTTTAAATAGTCTAATACCTCAAAATAATATTTTCTGGTTTGATGTTTTTAGTTCATGGCAACATGTTTTGAAGAATGTAGATCAGGATGTAGAAATGAAATGCAAGGCTTGCAATATTCCTGTATGGTATAATTCAAATATTAAGGTGGAGAATAAATGTATTTTTATAGAAAATTGGTATAAAAGTGGAGTTAAAAATATTGGGGATTTTTTGTCAGAGGATTGCAATTTTTTGTCAAAATCCGCCTTCCAAGAAAAATTCAGTATTTCCATTGTATGCGTAATGCAGTATAATAGTACTATTTCTGCTATTTCTAAATTTTTAAAGAATATGTCAATTGATAGAATGAACTTGAGAAAACATTGTCAGCCTAATTTACCATTTTATTTTGAAAATATTTTTCAATATGAAAAATGTACAAAGAGGATTTACAAATATATAAACAAAAAAGATATAATTCCTACAGCAATTCCAAAGTGGAATCAAGACTTATCTCCCTTTGGAGTGACGGATATTTGTATAAAAGATGTTTTTAAAGTTTGTTTTAAGACTACTTCTGATTCTTCTGTACAGTGGTTACAATATAGAATTTTACATAGGATCCTCCCTGTAGATTCTTATCTTAAGAAAATCAATATAAAAACTACTGATGTTTGTAAGTTTTGTGCCCAAGAAACTGAAACTGTACTGCATGTATTTGTTCATTGTGACCATATTATATCTTTATGGAGGAACTTGAGTTTACACATATATAGAACAATTTCAAAAAGAGTTGCATTTAATGTTAAAAATATTATCTTAGGTGAATTACCACTTAAGGATGATAGAATTGAAAACTTTATGATATTATACACAAAACAATATATTTTTTCATGTTTATTACAAACAAAAATACCTTCACTTCTTGGTTTACTAAGCTATTTGAAAATGAAATACAATATTGAAAGATGCATATTTATCAACAATTCAAATCTACAATATTTTGAAGAACAATGGATTTTTTGGAAAAATATTTTTGAACAAATGTAAGATTACAGATGTATATGTTAGATGTTTGCTTAAATTAGTTTGCATGATAGAGACACCTGATTATTATAAAGCAACCTTCATATTAATTTAAAATGTAAATGGATGTATGGATGGGTGTGTGAGTGTAAAATATCCATTGTAATTTTGCTGTTATCTTAATTTGATTCTGTATGTAATACAATGGATAATAAAAAAAAAAAAAAAAAAAAAAAAAAAATATCACTTCAAAAAAATTCTGTCAAGATATCCATGTAAAATGTTGATACAATTCTTTTTGAAAATACAGGTATTTGGAAACAGGCATTTTGAAATGTTCTTGATCCAATTATGCAAAAAACAGGCGTATTTGACTACATTCAGCAAAGAATTAAAATATGAGCACAGCCCACGATCCAAAAATTAAAACATGCTTTATGATCCTCAAATACAGGTCATTCTTTATGCAGTTGCATATTTTGATTCAGATGTTGTGCTTTATATGAAATATTGAAAAAGTACTTCAACTTTTGGTCTTATTTAAAGACAATTAAAACATGATATGGAAAAAATGACGCATTTCGTGACTTCATAATGCATTGTAAAGAGAGAAAATTGAAATTACGTCTTGTTTAATTGATACCTGATCCCAATGGTCAAAGAGATAAAAATGAACTATTCAACCAAACCTAAGAGGTTTTGATTTTTCAAAAATTCTCAAGGCCAAAAAAGGCCCTTAGTGACCCTTGCTCTGTCATTCAGTTGTATGCAGTCATTTTTTTAAATTTAAAACAAAAAACAAAAGGGCCTCCGTTATTTCAAAATTGACAAAAGTAAAATTTTATTCATAACATGCGGTTATTTAAGGTTAAAGTTGTGACATTATACATTTATTGACTGAGTTTTAGGACAACATGCGTTTTGTAAGATCCAAGAACCAAAGTGTCTGCCCGTAGCCTTTAGACCGAAGGCAGAGTGTGGTTCGAGGGTCGTCAAAACGTATTGTGCCCGAGAACTCAGTCAATAAATGTTTTGTTATAACTTTCATTTTATTTTTGCAATACATGTAATTTGTACTGTCTTCCGTGATGTAACATCAAGCCCGTCACTGCTGAACACTAACAAATGAAAATAAGCTCCGTCCATTTTTTTTTACGTAAGTGGTTTAACATCTCATCGACCAGTCCAACATCACTCTTGCTCAGCGGTCTAACATCGACTTTTTGGCCCGCTCAGGAAAGCATTAAAAACGTTAGATTTTTTAGATATAGATTTGTATAGGAACATATTTTTAAAGGTATAACAATACTTTTATTTTATCAATTACAATTAAGATTTTTTTTTCTCTCGGCTTTCCACTTTTAGTTTTTTGATCTATCGGTCTCGAGAAATAATTAAGTATTCACTTCAAGTTCATCCATTGTATATCTCAGAGTTGCTTCAGGTGTAATGCCACAGGATTTGACGAGATACCCTTATTCCCTATAATCTTTCTGGGCCCCCTCCTTTTCTCAGCTGATTTGCGGTATTTTGTGTAGCTCACTCTAGGTGTTCTTGTCATATTTAACTGATTTTCTTGTCATATTCAGAAATATCTTCAAATATGAGGCTATGTTGTCATGCTCCTGTTGCAAGTTTCCCACTGAAAACATCTTTTAGATTGATCCCATTATCCATTCAAAATTACGGCCACAACCTGTGTTCACAGATAAACAATACGCAGTTAAAATTGTGAAAACATTCTCATAGCTGATGTACACTCTACATAATTACATCTTTGTATCTAATGTCAGTATGGCATTGTCCAAAACTCAAATATAAGCTGAGTTATTGCATTTGCACTATTGCCAAGCTGTATGTTAATCTCATATTCAAGATAGGTTGATAAAGATTGTTCCAATGACGTATGTGAAATTCTATAAAATCCCTAATGTCTGGCCTACAATGCTGATTTAAGAAATAATATGAACATCCTTTATAAACAAATGGTTCCATGAAAGCAGGATTTCCCATAGTGGGGGAATAGCTAATTTAGCATGGGTGAATAAAGGCTGCATCGTCTGCAAGGAAAGTTTCGCTGAAAAAGACCCCGCAAGCCTTTTTTTGCCCCGAGTCCGGTCAGATAAAAGGGGCTCCCTTCCCTTAAAAAATATGAGAAAAGGCATCAGATTCCTTGAAGATAAATTTTAGCAGCAATAATAAGTAAACAACCCTGAGTAGTGAAAAGATATGAAAATTCCCAATAAAGACAAAACAGCGTAATATTTTTTAATGTCTCCAGTAGTGATGATAATGAGTATCAAATCTAATTAATGGCATATACAAAGTACATAGAAAGGTCACAAATATGACAATTTCCAATTTTTTGTATTTATATGAAAATGTTTATCAATTTTATAGCTCATTGTCTATAAAAAAAAAAACAGAGCAAAAAAACTGCCTATCAACGAAATTTAAATATTTCATACATTACTTTAGAATGCTTTTTGTGTATAAAAGTCTCAAGTAGGCGAGCTTATGATCTATTTCCAAGAATAAAATGTATCTCAAATATGACAAAATGTTATCAGAATTGAGGAAAAATATTCATCTTTGGCACCCAACAATTAAAGTTTTTACCTACACATTATCACAATTTTTTTTTATTTTTATTTCGGTAAACCGGATTGTTACTCTATCTTCTTCTATGCAGGAAAGACTATGATGTCTAGGAGGATGAAAATACTTACTTGTTCCATTGTGAATGAAAGATATGCATAACGTTTGCGTCTGTTAACAATAATAATTCCATTTTCATCTGCATATGGTTATCTCCCAGATAATTGGAGATTATGAGCAGTAATCATCTCAAAAGTTAGTTTAAAAAATACAAATCGAAAGCCGGTCAGAATCCCATAAAGAATAGGGAATCCTCTGTCAACTAGCCACGCATGCTGTGTGCTCCTTGTCATGATCGAGCAATAACGAAAAGTCCAAAGAATATTCATTGTTTAAAAAGCAATAACGAAAAAGTCCAAAGAATATTCATTGTTTAAAAAGCAGCCCAACAGTAAGTATGACAAACGACAATAAGTACTTAACTTAATGAATGACTGATTCGGTCTGCAAGAAAATAAGCTCGCTGAATTTCCAAACAGACCTGAACAGAGTTCCGAACAATTACTTGATGTCTTCAAAGTTAACTATATACTTCAAAATCAGCATTGTGGGAATCTATGATCGATGTAATGATCGACCTCTTTGAATAAGAATTAAACTTAGAGTGAACTGTACTTACTGGACCAATCCTAATTTTGAAGATTCATATTCAAATCAAATTCAGTCAGCATTTAACAAGAGGCCAGTTATATAGTGCGCAGGTAAAATCCCATGTGTTGTGGCTTTTAAAGATATCATAAAGGGGGCATTTTTTTCCATGGTTTAAGAAGCATGAAACCTTATCTGAAATTGTGTTTTAAAACTTTAAAAGTTGTGTAACAATTAGGTCTAAGGGGATTGCCAGATATATTTTAGAACAAGGTAAGATTTTACCGGAAACCGTTTACATGTAAGATTCATCGATTTAATATACAAAACGTATTTTTCGTTACTTGTTGAAGTAAAACAATTTTTTTTTATTTTGATAAAAGGGGTGTTTTATAACGTAATATTTTCAGTTCGTCGGCTCGTACGTGTGTAGCACATTTTTTCAGTTATAAGTTAAGAAATACGTTTTTAGAACTTAGAAACTGAACATGAGTTATTTTCCATGACTTTGATTGTTAAAGTGTTTCAAAAAAATGAACCTTTATCTTTTTTCCCTCTTCAATTCCTTGTGTATATAGCTATAAAACCATGCGTGTGTTATCGCGAAATCGCACACCGAGAGAGATTTTCTTTCCAGTATAAATCACACTTAGTAATAAAAGGAATGTGAAATCGACGCTTTCTATATATCAACATTGTATAGAGAGATTTCATTTTGAATAGGTGCCTTTCGTATAAATGGTTAAAACATGTTCAAGTAGAATAAAAATGAGTGAAATAGTTGCATTGCTTCCCTTGGCATTTGAATTTAAAGGGACAAAGACACAGATTCAGATGAATTTATTTTTCCATTTTTTATGTTTACAAATAACTAAGATATTTTAATGGTTTTCAAAAAATTTAATTTCTGTTGTTAAAATGAAAGACGGATTTAGAGCTTCAAGCCTTTTTTATTTAAACAAGGTCCGTGTCATGTTTTTACATAAATTAAATATGTTTTTTACATAGGTTAATTATATATGGTCATTTGCCAAATTGTGTTTTAAAAACACATTTTGATTGCACAAACAAGTACTCTGAAGTTGTCATCAAAGAGATGCTTGAGTGTCTGATTGACAATATCTATGTGGTTCTTGGAGACGAGGTATTCCAACAATGTATTGTAATTCCCATGGGTATCAATTGCACTACGTTATTAGCAGACCTATTTTTATAATCATATGAAGCAGACCTTGTGCAAATTCTTATGCGTGAAAATAAGAAAAACACTTGCTGTGGCCTTCAACTCGACAGTTAGAGATATCAATGAGGTATTGTCCATTATCAATGGTTATTTCCATTCCTACGTCTATACGATATATCCTGGTGAGCTTGAGATAGAAGATACCACAGAGTCTGACATATCTGTTCCATACTTGGATGTTTTACTTGAAGAAAACGTTAATGGTTATCTTACAACCAAGTTAAATGACAAAGGTGATGGCATTAATTTTTCTATCGTCAATTTCCCTAACTTATGCAGCAATAGTTTTTTGAAAGAAGATATTTTAAAATAAGAAGTTGATTCAGAACATCATAAGACAGATACTAGTGATTCGCAGAATCTCTACTTTTTATAAATATATTCTCTATATGTAAACAAAATCAAGGCACGAGCCCTGTTTACATAATGAAGAAATTCATGTTCTGTATCTCCTTTGTAAATCAACAAAAGATTTTTATGTTTTTGCTAATCATTTAAATTGCCTTAATTAGGAATAGAAAACATGAAAATTGGTTTTTTAAAAAAAAATCACTTGAAACTGTATCCATGTCCCTTTAAAAGTACAATTCCATAATTCTCATATGTTTGGTCCGATATACAGTTTAGTTCAAGAGATGGCTTATGACTGTTGTGATCTAATTTTTAAAATGATGATGTACATAATCATCAGAGATAAATCTTAACAATCTGTTTTAACCTTTCCATAAATGTGTATTGTTAGTACCTTCTATGTAGACCAATCTTTATCTTCATCCTTTTAATACATTCGATCAGTGCTTCTTATCTATTCAAGATATATTACTGTACTCAGGGTCGACTCATACAAATTGTGCCGACAAAAATAGTTCCATCATGATAAGTAGATACAAAATTTTTGTTCATGATAAGAAAAATGTTGTGTATGCCATACGTTAAAGAAACCAAAAATAAAGTCAAAATATTTTTTTTGAAAATCACTCCCCCCCCCCCCCCCCCGAAATGCAAATAAGAAATATCAATATTTCTATACTCGATCCCTCCTCAATCTTTTTTTTAAACATGTTTGATAACAGAGAATATTTAGGTCATTTTCGGTTGATATCCTTTCACCGATGAATTAATAATATTATATCAACAATTGTATTAAGTTTATGTTTATTGTCTGTTAATTACCATACAATTTCCTCTTAAAGAAAAAATGAGTATTCTGTGTGCGTATTATTACATGACGGAATTTTCAATCCCCGGCCGGATTCTGCTCGTGTGTAGACTGTATAAACTGTAGGGAGCTTAATTATAAAATGTGTAGCAAAACCTGAACCGGGTTTGGAGATTTCTAAACTGAAAACCGAGGTCATGTTGAAGTTCAGCATATTATTTTATATAAAATATGAATTATATAAGTAAGTTCCGCGAGGAATATGTTAGCATAATTTAGTAATTTTTCAAAACATGGTTTTCAGTTTAGAATTACCCGGCCCAGCATTGATTTTCATAACCCATTTAAAACCTACTTTGTTGCAGATACAAATATTAGAACAAAATAAAATTCAGTAGAGATTGTAAAATTTTTATTAATCAGAATTCATACTGATATGAAAAAAGTTTTGTCTGCCATCGTAACTTCTCGGGAAAACAAAACGTGTTTCTCCAAGCTCGCTAGATCCATTTGACAACTCCGTCACACGTGTGTAGACCAAGGCTAACTTGTGTACTGTTTGTTAGCAAACAATGATCGTAATGCTACGCCTCACAAAATTTACACCAATTTCATAACTAGACAGTGCATATTTTTTCAAAATTCATTAAACATTGTTAAACATATGAAATGTATATTAAGTAGAATATCTTTGGATATGGGGTAAACATGTCTATTCTTGTTCATACTTGAAAAAAGAGAAGGGTTCAATAAAAAAAAAAATTTAATCCTCGATTGCGTTTGTTTTAGATTTTAAAAATGATTTTGTTTTAGTTTACGTATTAAACTCTCTGAATTATGAAACTGTTTTTAGGGAAATCATCAGTTGGAAATTTCAATCAATAGTTTTATCATGCATGCCTTGCCGCCATCATTGATTATATCCGCCAACATATAGGCTGTCTACTCGTTGATCTGAAAGCAAAGAATATCTTTAAACTGAGTAAGTATATTTGGTAACTGTTGTTTAAACACAAGATCCGAGATCAATACTTTTAGCATATAATGTGTTCAATGTGAAAAGACATGTCTAGGAATATGAAGTATCAAAAAATGTGAATCCCCATCAGCCTGAAATTTTACCGCACTGTGTTAAATCATTCTGCAAAATGTGTACACCTGAATGCACGCAGTATAAACCATTTCTTAAATTCATCGAAGGATAGCGTAACAACAAATTCGAGACTAGACTTTTAAATTTTAAGAGACAATTAACAGCTGACATTTTACAGAAGATAAAAGATATATTGATATTTCCAACCATACGTAAAGTTCAATGCAAATATCATATAACGATTCGTGATAGCATTTTAAATGAAGTTCATACTTCTGTTACGGACAGCAAGTCACTATTTTCAAACATAACCTTTTTTAAAATGCAAAAATATAAATTGAAAGGCTGATAAACTATTTGCGATCAAAAATTGAATTAGGCTTTAAATCAAGCATTTAAATTTACCGGTCCACTAAAAGCAAAATAGATGGTCTAACTGTAATTATATTGTAACTGTATGCTGTAACATATAAAAATTACGGCAATTTGGTAATGTATTTATAAAATTCAAAAGATGATTGCAAGTTGGAATCCAATCCTACCCAAAGAATAGTATTCTCAAATACTGTCAATTTTCTTTTTTTCTCCTTTAAAAACTATACTTCATGTCTTTATTCATCAGTAAAACATATTCTTTTTTACTCATGCTCAAGGAAACTAGCTGCTTGAAATTAATAATTATCTATTTGATTCTGAAAATATTTTGTTGTACTAATAAAAACTGAGCTTTTCTGTATGGTATTTTTTAAATATATATTTACATTTCCCAGTACCCCCGAGTGCCTGTATGTGTCTTTAGAAACCTCTTCAAAAAAAATCTTAACTCAAAGATAATCATGTCCAAGATAGCTCTTAAGGTAATTTGATCCTTACTTGACCCTTACTTATGCAGCAATATACCTTCATCAACTGCAAACGGAGTGTATATATCTCAGTTGTCTCGATACACAAGAGCATGCTCTACGTATGAACAATTTCTTAAACGATGTATATTATTGACAAACAAGTTGATGAAACATGAATATCAGCAGTCTCGTTTAAATCATCATTTCGTAAGTTCTTTTGTCAATACAATGACAATGTCAGCAAATACAATTTATCATTTATTTTTGAGTCAAATGCTGACTGACTTTTGGAGGTGGTTCTTTTAAAGCTGGACTTTCTTATTATAATCTTCGTTTAAAATCTACTTCCTTTATCAAGTATTGCATGCTTATCGGGATTCACATTAACAGATGAAAGTTCCTGAAAATTAAGTAGATATTAAAACTATAATATTTTATTTTTACCTCGGCGCATATCCGCATTGCACTCAGACGATTTCTAACTATAGGATACAATCCTGCATTTCAAAAATAAAGGATATGGAGATAACGAACAGTATTCAATCTCAAAGTCCATAAAACAATACAAATTAGGACCAGAGCAAACACCTCCGAAACATCAGAGGTGGGATCAGGTGCCATGGAGGAGTGAGCATCCACTGTGTGCTCCTTGTCATCATCGGGAAATAACGGAAGAATTCGTCGTAAATTCAGTATTTAGATAAAGGACTAACAATTAGTATGAAAAACGTTCGTCGGCATTTGACTCAATATAAATGATATTTGCTGACAAGGTCATTGTATCGACCATAGAACTTACGAAATGATGATTTTATACGAGACTGTTGATATGAAAAGCATTTTAGATCTCTAATGTATTCAACATTCTTTTTTATAAGGTTTTAAATAAAGAATTGTATAATTACTTCTTATTGTGTTTTTGTCAGTATATGCTTGATTCTGCATATCTTCTGTGTTCAAATGGCATGTTAAGACATGATCAACTGCGTCTTTTTCTGCCATAACGTCTTAAACACAGTTTATGAAACATTTGAAAGTTGGACACAAAATTTCTATTAATTGTGATGCTTTTGGTATGATCTAAAGTCAATGCAACATATTTTCTTGCTATATATTCGTATTTTTTTCTTGTAGAAAAATTTCTACCATTAGATGTGAACTTCATTATTTAAGACATTGTAAAATTGGCAAGTTCATACAGCTAATACTGAGAAGCAAGACCTAATTGCAGCCCGAAGGACCGGGCTGCTCTAAACATATTCGAGGGGCGTTCAATAAATAATATCATCAGCTCGATGACATACAAAATAGAAATCATATGACATTAAGCATGACTTTCTCTAATTATTGAATCTTTAATGAATTGATAACAGTTTATGTCACCACTTTTCATCGCATAATTTCATTGTGGGAAGCTGGAAAACAAGGGCTACTCGAGACACTGCATTAAAAATGAATGGTCAAGAATCAGAAAACTAGAGTAAAATTGAACGCGTCATTAAAGCTGCTGTAAAACTTGTTAACTTCCCAGAAATATATTAAGTGAAATATGTGAAATTTACAGCAACTTATGTCAGTTTCATACACACCTGAACAGGTAGATTTCAATAACAAAAATTATACAATGGGCATCAAAAATTTGTACCGTTCTTGTCAACAATGACATACAACAACCAATGTATATTAGCGATAATTCAACAAATTATCACTGATTATGTTTTATTGACTTTAAGATACATAGCAAATTTGATAGACATATTTTTGGGGGTAGTTCACACTGTTTTAAAGATACATTTGATTGTAAAAAAGTTTAATACTCAAAGGTCACCCTATATTTTTTTAAAATGAGTGAAAACGAGAGCGTGTAGAAAATCTAAAAAATTATTTTTTTTAAATTGTTCTTATCCACGTTTTTCTGATATTCAAAAAGATCATGAAACTTGAATCCATTTTGCATTAACCCCTCAAAACAAATTTAGAATAAGATGTACTTGACAAAACTGCAATGCCTAAGAAGAGCAAAAATTTGCAAGAACACACAAACAGTTTTATACGCTATTTTCTTAAATATTAGAGGTCTTGTTCAAATTCAAATATAGGGGGGCAGTTTAATTTATGGAGGAGTCTAGTAAGCAAAATATTTGCCAAAAAATTGAACGGTTTCTGAGAGGTAGGAAGCAGAATGAGAAATTTACTACATTAAATTTCTTCCTGACAGCGTCCAATCCTACAGACCATGAAGAGTAAAAGAGTTTTGGGGTAAACAGAAAGTTAATTTTATTTCACATCAACATTATTCGCCAAATCTTTCAACCTTTGGCTTGCTTCATTTCTCAAACTTAGGAAAAGACCTTTCAGAAAGAAAAAAAAAACAAATACAAAACAGTAGGATCTGCCATTTTCCAGTATAAGAAGGGTCATTCTCAAAACTTTGTTCTAAAAACAATTTGAAATGGAATTAAAATGTTACGGACATGTGTTTTGATTAAAAGAGAATATTTTAGTTAAATCATGAAGACAAAATCGTACAAAAGCGTTTTTGTTTCTTTCCAAGCCCAGATGACATTATCTATTGAACGCCCCTCGTTAGTTTGAGTGTTGGTGTAAGGGGATTTAGGTTGGAGAAGTTTTTAAGAATTAAAGCTTTTCGTTAATCAGAATGTTCTTTCCCTTTATAATTTTAGAAATGCATAATACATTTACTTCCATAAAGTGAATTTGTAAAAAGGTATATGTTTTGATATCTAATATATAAAGTTGCTTATCATTTACTATCGAAAAAAAACGACAGGTCCTTTTTTTTAGAACGTCGAACTTTACGTCGCATAAAAACGTACTTTACACAGTTCATGTTTTATATTCTTAACGTGAAATACGTTTTTGAAAATAGGTGATGTATGTTTTTAATTTTAATTTATATTTTATGCAGCCAACATTTATTTGATAATGTTTAAAAGGGTATCGTTTTTGTTCGATTTTCATCCGACAAGAGTTTTTCAAAATATTCTCGACTATACCATCTCCATAATCTAGACACAGGCCTTTTTCATATTAATCGAAGTGGTTTGATGATCAAGACTCAATTTACTTTATTTATTTCCCGGGCGACAATTGATGGTTACATCAATGTTCTCTTGTTTATCTTTTTGATTTCAGGCATATGAATATTACGTGTTTAAGACGGATGCTTAAGGGGATGAAGGACTAGCTGAAAAAATACCTGTCATTTAATTTTTTTCATATTTTGTATATATCTTATTTAGTATGTCCTACATACTATAAAGCAGACATATCAATAGGTTTCTAGACTTATTTCTGAGATACCGGTATTAAGTGACAAATACCATACCCCACAGTGTCTGAGCGGAGTTTTTATTCTTCGTGTTTCTGGGTCCAGTACTCGGTCAATAATTGAAATTTTTCACCATAAATAAAAAATAAACCAGCGGAAATGTGTCTTTTAAAATGTTTTAGAGTATGAATAGGGTTAAAAATTCAAAAAAGCAAGATTCTTTTGTAACACCACATCTGGAGACGGAAATTTACGACTTTTTTTAGGACAACTTAGTATTATTATTATTATTATTAAGGTCTTCCGTTTCAGACGGAAGACCTTATAGTGATTCTACTGTTTCTTTTTAGGGTCTTCCGTCTCCAACGGAAGACCCTTCTATTATTCTATTGTTTCTTTTTCACTATTATTATGTCGCCCCGAACGAAGTCGGGGACGACATATAAATATTGTACGCATGTTTTTTTTATCCAGGCTGTTTCTCGGAGATGGCTGGGACAATCTTCCTGAAACTTTCCTCAAAGGACGATCACTGGTTATAGTTGTGCAGTGAGGTCGTTCAGTTCCAATATGTCTACCGTTGCCATGGAAACCTGTAAAAAGCGACAAATTTTGTCCGAGAGTGTTCTCTCTGGTCCCTTAAACGTTCGTCATGAAACTTTTCTTATTTTAAGGATTAGTATCTGTAGTTCTGCAACTCGTATTTAAAATTTTCATATAATCGATTATTGCCATGGAAACCGGGTGAAAGT